AACATATGCACGTTTCTTTGATCTATGCCTCAACAAAGAAACTGTCGATAAAAAAACACTCTGGGCAGTCAATGTGTCATTTTCATAACGCCGTTCTTCAAGTGTTCTTAGTTTAATTTTGTTGGTTTCCTGCAATCTCTAATTTTACCATATTGTGTGAAACTGAAAGGGATTCTTTGGATCTGATTTCATTTTGAGGTTTTACTGCCACACAATCTGCTACTGACTCCGTTTTTTAATTCAACTCAGGGATTTTTTAAGGGTGAAGGAATGGGGGAAGGGAATACAGTCAGGATGGTGAAATGACCTAGTGCAACTTTTTGAACATTCTTGCCTACAAGGAAAGCTACTAATTAAAATGAAATCAAATTACAAAGAGGCTATGCTGATGCTATTAGCCAAAAGACAGCGAATAATTAGAAATGTAATTGCTTTACCCTGCTCACATCATTTGCGCTTCATAAATAAAGATTTTAAAAGTGATATTGTTTTGCATGCCTTCATAATAATAATTATTCTTTCAGCTGTATAGACAGTACCTGCTATACCACATGTACTGTATGATTCAGGTATTATTTTTTCTCTATTTCACCTGTGCCATACTGCCATTAAAAAAACCAAAAAATTAAAACCAACACAAAACCAAAACAAAACCAAATAAAACAATCCCCATACCCATGTATTTATGCATGTTATTTTTTCAGTTGAAAATCCAGTGCTTTCTCAATAGAAAACTTTGAAAGCATAGCATCTATTGAATTCTAGAATTGTTTTCTCCATTGACTTGCTCTCACTATATAGGGAGTACAACAGTGGGACAAATCACACATTTGCTAAATCATTTACCGCCCACCTGCAGCTAATTCCTAGTGATTAACATTGTCAACATTTTTGTTATATGTGCCAGTTTGCAGGAAGTTAAAAAATATTGCTTGTAAATAGTACTGTGAACAATAAAAGGAAAAAAAAACCCTGCATTTACCAGAACATCATTTCCCTAAAGAACAGACTCTACATCTGAAACCCTTTCAGTATATTCAACCGATATTTTGGAACCAATGTGATTTTTTTTTTCACTCAAAGATCCAACTGCTTCCAGTGTGAGTTTTCAGTACACAGCCAGTGTAGGATTAGGCCCCTTACTCTATGAGGTAGGAACACCACACTAAAATGTTTACAGTAAAAAAAACCTGATTTCAAACAGCAGAGTTAAATGGATGATTAAATGGAGTCCCAGACAGACTGACTGGGATGTGAATAGTGAAGACAATCTTTTTAGTGTACTTTTAAAACATGAGACAGAGGTTTAAAATTATTTTTATTCCAGTTTGAGAATTGTGTAGAGTATGTACAGTACTGTGCCATAACGATCTGGTATAAAATGCTACCTTGAGTTGAACACAGCTCTTTATAACACGCTTAGCCATATTTTGCCCTGCCATTCTGTGGTGTAAATAGTGAGTACTGCCATGGAATGAGAATGTTTAGTTTTCTGGAATTAATCCAGATTTATACCCATCTAACAAAAAGAAATTTCTTAGGCTCTAAGCAGCCACTGATGATGCATTATAAATAAGTTAAATATCAGATCATGTTGGCTATTATTTACACTAAATAATGTCAATGGCTCTTATTTGAAAAAAAAAATCACATTTGATTTTGCTCCTGCTTGCACAGCTCTTCTATCTCAATTATAATGGGTAAGATTAAAAATGCCTTTAAATGTGTCTGATTCCAGATTCTAAGCATGTTAAAAGCACTTGCTAATGAAAATCAGAAAAACAGATCTTTTTCTTTCTGTTAAAACATGCCTTGGACATTTTAATCTTGACAAATACAGGTTACAAGACATTTCAGTTTTCACGTAGGTGAGCAATTACAAAAAAAAAAAAAAAAGGTTGTGTTTATGTTTCAAAACACAGTGTTGTTTTAATGTCATATCTGTCGATATCTCATTAACAACTTGTGCCAGCAGGTTAAGCAAAGTACAGGGAAAGTTAGGTGTCATATTATTGTAGGCTCCATAGCTACTAGGTACACACACAAAGTATATACTTTGCATTTTTATGGCATCTTTCATCTGAAGATCTAAGTACTTAATTAAGTAATTAAACTTTCCATTGCCATGAGCAGAGCACTGAGCTGGCTTGTACAAGACAACAAGGGAAGATCTGGGAACAGAATGCAAGACTTTTAGCTTTGCTAATGCAGGCGGAACACCAGACAAGTTTACATTCCTGTCTTGGGAACCACAAAGTATCAAAGGTCACTATCAAGGGTATTTTGCCTCATCTCTTAAAAAACATTAAAAGCACACATATTTATTTATTGTTCCCAAAGAGGTATGCACATATTCATCACATATATAAACACAAACACACACACCTATGTACACTTATAGGTATAGACATCATTACATGTAGATATTTACATGCACACGGACATGTGCATAGAGACATATACGCATCAGTGTTCACTGTCAAAACTTCACAGTCCTGGAATGAAGTCCAAACTTTTCACTGCAGAAGACTGAGGCAGTTTAATTTTTTTTTCTTTTTGCTGTTTCCGTGTAAAACTGGGAACACTCTAGTATGGAAATTATCACTCTGAATGGGCAAAGTTGTACCTTGATATTGCAAAACATCAAATTTCCTAGCAAATTTTAAACACAGACTGCTCTTTCATTAGGATAAAATTCTAAGTAAGTAATCTGTATGTAGTAAACATTAGTGGGCAATTGTGAGAAAATGCAGACTATAACATTACCCTTATGGTATTTAAATGATGTGATTCAACATTTAAAACCTCTTTTTAGGTAGCACACAATATACTAACAGCACAAGTACATCTTAAGGCACTGTTGTAAGTCGAAAGGTACCAGTACTCCACACTTCACTGTGGAAATCTGCTATGAATAAGGTGCTCGCTAACCGAGGATACACTTTGTAGTTTACATTCCACTGCAAGCTGTGTCACCATTTGTCATCTCCTCAATAATCACACACAGTCTGTGGAATTTGTTCGACCCTCATCTATCTCAAGTGGGCCTATACGCAATTTACAACAGAAAAGTTCTTGACAGCTTTCCTCTGGCAGGCCCCTCTTCGGAAGCAGCCAGAAGGACAACTTCCGTCCGACTAGAGGGTCATTTCCACCCACGCAGCAGCTGCCGTGCCCAGAGCCACGCAAGCACGCGCGAGGTTTCATCCTCCCTCCCGGCCTTTTCCGTGGCGCACTCGGCAGGTGCCGCCGCACGGCCGCTGTCGCCGGGGGAATGAGGCTGGCCGGGTGTCTGGCCGGGGCAGGGGGGGTGTTCCCGGGAACGAGGCTGGCCGGGAGTCCGGCTCGGGCATGGGGAGGTTCCCGGGACAGGCCGGCCCAGCCCCTCCCCGAGCGCACGAGGCGCCGCCGGGCGCTGCGCGGGGCCGCGCGGAGGACAGCTCCGCGCACGCGGCGACGGCCCCGGCCTCAGCAAACTCGGGGCGCGCGCAAGCGCCGCGCGCACGGCCCACCGTCAGCCCCGCCCGCGCGGGGCCCCCACGTTACTTTGATGGACAGCTCGGCCTCTCCACTCTCCTTCCCGCCGACCTTCCCCGCCCCCCGCAGCGCCGCGCGCCCCGCGCCCTCCCATTGGCCAGCGCGAAGCGCTCCCGCCGCTCCGCCAGAAAACGGCTCCCAGCCAAAGCCGAGAGGCGGTGAGACTCCGTCTCTCGCCATTGGCCCTCCGCGGCGTCTCTCGTCACGGCCCCACGTTGGCGATGGAGCCGGCGATTGGGCAAACCCCCTCAGCGCGCCGGCGTGGGCGGGGCCGCGGGCTGGGTAGCCGGCGGAGTGTGAAACCGCGTGCTAATGTAAGCGGCGCGCGCAGAGCCGCGCTCCGCTCCCGCCTCGTTCGCGCACTGCGCTCCGCCAGCGCGGAGGGACCGCGGGGAGGGAGCCGGGGCGTTCCTGTCCGCTCGGGTTGGGATTCTTCAGCCTGCGAGAACTTTATCCCGCGTCGGCGAGGAGCGGCGGAGCAGCGCGGAGGAGGGGAAGATGAGGATGATGCTGCTGCTGCTGATGTCGCCGCGATGTACCGCGTTCGTCGGGCTCTGGTGAGGCGCGCAGCTCCCAGATGCTCTGACGCCCGAAGAAGGCTGCGGTGGTGCCGTTACACGAACGAGCTTCCCGTCTGATTTAGCCCTAATACGGACGCTTGCTTTTTTTTTTTTTTTTTTTTTTTTTTTCCTCCGGACGAGGTTGTTTCCTTGGACGGTCAGGCCAGCGGGCATCTTGAGGGGTTTGTTTTCCTTTTGTCCTCTGGACTTGTCTGCAACCAAGGGAAGAGCCTGTGCTGCGTGTGTGGTATCCCTTCCTCTGCCCTCCAGCGTTTCGTGCATGTCCTAGTGGAGCCGCTCCGATCGGGGACGGCTGTGCGGAGCCCCCGCCCGCCCTCTTCCTCCACCTCCTGCCTTCCTGCCTTGTTCATCGCTCGCTGTAGTGCCGATGACCTGGCCCCTGCGTCGACCCCCGGGAGCAGCGCGTCTCTCCCTGGACGCTTTTTCTATCCCCCTTGGTTTGCAACGGTCCCGCCGCTGACACTGCGTCCCGCTCACTCCGGCTGGATTTTTGACAAGAGGCAGAACTGGGGAGAGGGGTCGCCTCCGCTCTGGGGTTTCCGGCCTTACAGTCGCATCGGCCACTTACGAGTCCATACGGGGGATTACTCACTCCCACAGCGGGGCGGCTGCGGCCCGGCCCCAGCCCCGTCGGGTCCCGTCCCGCCGTACCCGGGCGCTGCCGGCGCCGCCCGCCGGTCAAAGCGCCGCCGAAGGAGCGCCGAGCTGTGGTGACCGTCCCGAGGGCGGCCTGTCCGCCTCTCCTGGCAACCCCTAGCCTTCCCGGGAACGACAACGACAAAGGACACCGCGGCCGGAGGATGTTCCCAGGGCAGGAGCACTGAGCGGCTCCTCTCCCCGCTCCTGCCCGCGGCGGCGGAGGGAAGGGGGCCGGTGGGTGTCGCCACCCCTGTCTCCTTGGCGCACCAGGTGTGAAGCCGGGGCAGCCGGGGAATCTCGCCGCGAGAACCGCGCTGCGAAGGAGCCCCGCCGCGGCCGGAGCCATGTTCCCCCAGAGCCGGCACCCCGTAAGTACGGCGCGGGGCGAAGGCCGGGCGATCTGGAGCATAGCTCCGGCTCCCTAGTCCGGCTGGAGGTAGGGATTTGTGTAGAAGGCGCCCTCAAAAGTTCATCCCTTCCTAAGAGGATCGGCGCATCCTGCCTGCGGGAGCGGCCGGGAATGGGACGTGCCGTCTTCCCTTTTTGTCTTGGGAATGGTGGCGGGGGATCGCCGCCGGGCCGGGCAGCATCCGCCGAACTCGGCTCCCGGGATGAGGCTGGCTGTGCCTCCGCAGCGGAGGTCGGTGGGGAGGAGCGGGCACGCCCCGCTTTGGTGTAGATAGCGGTGGCTGGAGCCGGAGGGTGGAAGCCGAAGCCGTTCCAGGAGCAGGGTTAAACTCGACCCCCGCTCCGCATATGAGGGACGGGAAGGTGGGTAACAAGTGCGTAGCGCCCCGGGGCAGGGGTGGGCGCGGGCTGGATGCTCCCTCCATCGCTCCGGCCCGGCCGAGGGGTAAAGTGCCACCCCCTCCGCCCCGCGGGGCGGCCCCGCTCTGACTGAACGTGCATTTCTCTCCCGTGCCGGCCGCCACCGCGCCAGACTCCGCACCAGGCTGCGGGACAGCCTTTCAAATTCACCATCCCGGAGTCGCTGGACCGCATCAAGGAAGAGTTCCAGTTCCTCCAAGCGCAGTACCACAGGTGAGCGCCGGCGGGCCGCCCTTGGACCGGGGGTTACCACCCCGTGGCCGGCCGGGCGCGGGGGCTGCAGCGAACGGGCGCGTCCAGGCGGTGGCGTGTGGGGTCGCGGCTGAGCCCCGCCGAGGGACCCGGCCGGGCCGGGCCGGGCAGGGCAGGGGCGGCGCGGGCAGCCCCGGCCCATGCGGTGCCGGGGGATGCCGCGGGGACGGGGCGCGCAGGGGGCGCAGCCCTACCCTGCGCCAGCCTGCCCGCTGGTGTGTTGGACGGGTAGCTGCCAAAGGGGTTTGGTGTCGGAGCCGAAGCAGTTCGGCACCTGTGGGCATTAAAAAAAAAAAACAGTATTTGTTACGGATTCTTACGAGAAGGGGTCATTTCAGTATATCGACTGCACAAAGTTTGTGATACAGCACTTTAAGGAGGCTATTTCTCATGTTTACGTATTTGTATGTGGTGTTAATGGAAATATTAATAAAATGCCAGTGTCCCGTGCTTTAAGAGCCAGGGAGGACTATTAAAGCACACAAGTACTTCGAGCGGTAACACAAAGTTGACGTGAATCCATGGAAGTGATAGGGTGTGCTACTCGTTGCTGTGCTGGCCTTCAGAAATTCTTGGTGGGTGTGTATTTGCTGTGGTCTCTGAAAAGATTTATGTTACGGGTTCTTTCATAGCCTAGGCAACTGGCATTAAGGAGCATTAATCTTCCCTAATTTTGTATCTAACGTGCACCTGCAATATTTGGAGAGAAGTAAAAGCTTTTCAGATTTCCCAGTTAGAAATCGTTTGTTTTTTATTCAGCTTCCTCTTCCTTTACCTATAATACTGTAGTCTTACCAAAGTAATTAACTTGTCTAAACCATTTGTTACTTAAGAAATACAATATAAACTATAAGCATTAGGCATCATAGTTGTGAGTAAAAAATGATGGCTTGCACAGGAACTGGTCCGTAGGATTTTAACTAGTATCATTAAAAAAAAAACCAAACAAACAGTTTGACAGAAAACAATGGGAATATTGAGGCCCTCAGTGAAAGTAGAATTATACTGTTGTTTGGGATGAGATATGCAAGTGCTGAATGCGACTTACTTTTGTTTATGGAAACAAAAGTCGAAAAGAAATGCTTGGAAATTATAAGAGTTACTGATATTCAAGCTGTGGGCAAGGTAACATTTGCCAGAGTGTACTGAAGGTAAGAATTATGCTCAAGTTGTAATTGTAAAACTGAATAGTGTTGCTCAGCAGTAATTGCCAAACAAGTGTACAAAGAAATGCCTCTGTCTTATCCATTTTATTCCTGAGAAGTATTTTAGAGAAACTCAGTTCTTTTAAAGTTGTAGCACTTAATAGCAGATCTTTGTCAAAGCATGAAGAATGGATATGTTAAGGTTCTGGAGACAATTTGGGCCTCAGGCAGCACCCATGAAATGACTTTTATATTCCCTCTTCAGCCTTTGTATTTAAAGTATGAATTAAGTCTTTCTTTCTGTGAGTTAGTTATAAGGGGTTTTTTTAATTAGAGGCCTCTGCCAAACTACAAATAGAGTGGGTACATGTCAAAACAAATGGCATAAGTTACATTAAAGTGTGATCTGTTTTGTAGCCTTAAATTGGAATGTGAGAAACTGGCAAGCGAAAAGACAGAAATGCAGAGGCATTACGTGATGGTAAGTGTATTAGTTTTATCTTTATTTCAGTAAATATCTCCTAATTCAATGTAAATCAGCATAAGAAAATAATGTATGCTCATTTATTTGCAGTATTATGAAATGTCGTATGGATTAAACATTGAAATGCACAAACAGGTAAGGCATTTTGTTTTCTAAACTGCAAAATCAGCAGTTTCTCCAGTGCATTTAAATGTAACTGTGTTGTTTATGTTCAGATGTCTGTATCATATGTCGGAATCAATAGCCTAATTTGTAGCTGTGATTAGTAAAACTGCCTACTTCCTGTCAAATGCGGTGTAGATTAGGTTAAGCAAGAAGGCCTTTATCGTAGTGGTCCTGAAAGATGTTGGCATAAGTAGGAAGGGTCTTATGTCTGTGGTTTTAAAAAAATATATCTCAGTACTTTACAAATGTATGTTTTTTTGGGGAGGGGGGGGATTGTTTTGGTTTTTTTCGTTAGTGGTAGAGGCTCTGATGTGTAGAACTGATCTTATGCATGTGTAACGTATATAGCGATAGTTGTTTAAATCCTTGCCATATAAAGGTATGAAGAGATTAGTGACTTGGAAAGCTCTAGTTATGACTATGAGTTTGCAAGTTCCCATAAAATTCACACTTATGGCCACTATAATGGTGAATAAAAAGAGTATTGAACTGGAACAAGACACTAAGGACCTCATAAGAGAAGAAAAGCTAAATGATTGCTCAGCCCAGAGGACCCTCAATTGAGTAGTCATTGTCTGCCAAATAAAGCATTAATGGCAGGGTGTAAGTATTCTGTAGATATGCTGACATTCACTTTTTCATCAAGATGCTAGTACAATAAGTCTTTCAGAAATCGATGGCCTCTTAAAAAAATTATCATTAGATGAAGTTGCACAGTTGGACACATTTCAAAGTGCAACAATACAATTCTTTCTTGATGTGTATGTGCTATTTCATCTAAAACTCTTGTTTCATTAAATTAAAGAGCATGGCTGACCGGCTAGGGCACAGCGAAGAAATTGATTAGTTCAGGCTTCAGATCTTCAGTATATTCAAAGACATTCATTAAGCAAGTGAATTGCAGAATTGAATTTTGCTTTTGTAACTCTGAACACTTTGGTTTCTTTTTATTTTGTTTTGTTTTCCTCTAAAAATATTATATTAGGGAAGGTGGTATTTTAATTCCATAATAACTTTCTGTCTGCAAAGCAAGGTAGGTATTATTTGGTTTTTGGAGGTACACTTTTTTCAATGCAAAATGCCATTAAATGAAGAAATATTACCACAACCCCTTTTTTTTTTTTTTTTTTTTTTTTTCCCCAAGTAATGAGCCAAATAGGTAAATGAAACAGCTATTGTAGTGTTTGACTTGGTTGTCTATTGTAGCTTAACTAATTTTTTTGTCTTATGTTTTAGAAGAGTGTCAGTTTTTCTGTGCGGTGACTTTGCCTGGCTTTGTTATTTGAAGATTTTTTCTTGGATTTATTCTCCTTAACAACTTTTTGGCACACAATAACCTGTGAGAAAACCAATATCTATATAGGAAGCCTATTTGCTGAAAAATGGATGATATTTTCAGAAAATATTTGAAGAGAATTTGCTTCAGTCAATGTATTAGGAATTAACTTTAAATAAAATCAATTAGACCCTCAAGATCAAAGTGTGTGAGAACTGAGGTTTCCACTTTGACCACTTTGAGGTTTAATGTTCTCTATGTATGGCACCTATAATTAAGTACTCGTTATGCAGTGATACTTTGAAAGCTTATGAGATTTATGACAGAGCATTATTACCTGTGTTGGTTCTAGTTTGAGGGAGCAGTGCATGCTGTTAAGAAAAGAATAAACTTTTGAATGCTTAAGTACATTTCTCTGCATGTGAGTCTCAGATACTGTTCTTTTATGTGTTAAGTAATTGCAATTTTTGGTAAAAGTACCACCTTTATATTAGAGACTCTCGATTTAGATGTCTTCAGTGAGGATACCAAATGGTGTTGCAGTTCAGTATGTAGGTGGTCTCAGATTACAGGAAATGGAAAAAAAAGCCTAACAATGACATTCTTCTGAATTTCCACAGCTCTGAGGAGGCTTTTGACAGATAGTAATCATAATTCTTATTAACTGGTGACGTCTACCCCCAAGGGTAGATGCTTTTTGCTGGCTGATCACCAGCATGGCCTAAGTGCTCATTATGTTGTAGAGAGGGCCTTTGGAGCTCTCATTACATTTGACAGGAATTCTCTCTAGGGGAAAACTGGGCATTAGCTAGACTCCTGACAGGCTGAAATTATTCCTACTTTATGGCTTATAACCAAATGCTAGCAAGGCATCATCAGGGGACATGAAAAATTGTCATTTCTGACAACATCTTTGTTGCTGGAAAATGCAGTGATGGGGAAACTTTCCACTGAACAAGCGTTAACATCTTTAGGGCTTGCCTCCTATTTGGATGATGCACGCGCTGGGTGTGAAGCCCTTCAGGCTGCTTGGGGTGCTGTTTAAAAAACAAAAGTTACACTGCAGCACTGTTTATTTATGGAGTGTGGTATATACATCACTGTTAAAGGTAAAGTCATTTAGATACAATGAAGTAGTTGCAGTCAGCCTACATATAAATGAAAAAGTTGAGTTCTTGTATTGATACAGTTGTGTCAGGAGTTCCTTCTTTTAATGTAGTAATCTATTATCATTTGACTAAAATAGAGTTAGTCAGGACTTGAATGCTGTTATAAACATATCACCCAACTGAGGTAAACTTTCTGTACACGAGCAGCTGTACTGGCAGAGCTTTCCACTCGAATGTGTTGCATTTAAGTCCAGAAATGGCCATGGTAAGGGTTCCCTCATGACTTTTAGCTTTGACACTTTGTGCTGTTTAATTGCAAAATTGGGTGCTTAAATGAAGGTGTTGCTGCATTTCAACCTGCTGGCTGAATGGTGGCCAGGAAATAATCTTTTTACATATTTGTGGCTGGTTTATATTTGGATTTGTTTGTTTGCTTGTCTTGTGTTCATCTTGTTTCTGTGTGTTTTTTAACTTCTTTTATTAAAGAATTTCAAAGATTAGTTCTTAAGAGGATGTGTGTGGACACTTTTATGTTTTCTTAGACATTATTTTAAGGTGAACAGTTACTGACCAAGTTTTACATTCCTGGAATAAGAACAAGCACTTGAGGATTTGTTTAGTTAGATGTAGGTTGATTTAGGTACTGTTTTCATATATATCAAGAAGACAGAATGAATAAGAATGTTTGGTGTGGTCTTAAGTTTCTTTTCAGTATTTTACTGTCCAAGTGAGATTTTTTTTTCCCCACTAGGACATCTGTGGCTGGCAAAGCAGATAAATCAACTGCTAGTGCCAAGATGTAGAGTTGCTTGGGTGTTAAAAATCCTGCTGCACCTAGAGTTGCTGCCCTTGGCTCTTAGGGCGGTGTATTTTCACCAGCTCTGCCTGTCATCTTATGTCCTAAGTCAGAAGATAAGTTTTCCTGTACATATAGTGCCTAGATTGTTGAGGTGAAAGATTAACTTTTGTTTACTGGCAGACAGCCAAAGAAAGAATAATTCATCAGTGCTGAACCAATTGACAGACTTAAAAACTTTTATGGTGTCTGGGTTTTTGCTATCCCAACAGTTACAGCAAGGTTTCCTGCTCTTTGGCTGGGTTATTTTGATCTCTCTGACCTGCCTGGAGGCAGACCTGTCATTCGGTACCTTGTCTGTTGCAGAAAAGTACACAAACTCCAAAGCTGCATTGTGTTAACCAGTCGTAACAAGAGTTAAATGTCTGGTTTAGCTTGGACTGTTTTATGTAATCATTTCTAACACTTTACATCAAAGGATAGAATCTTCTAATGATATCTCATTAGAACATCAGTCTTCAGGAGTGGGTTAAATAGAAGGGAATTAAGGAGCTTAGTTATCTCTGTACAGCTTCTGAGTAGGATGGCTGTGCTGTTGAAAGGGATTTAAAGATAATTTTTTTTCTCCTACAGTTTAATTATTGGAATGAAAAACTCTTTTAAGGTTTTAGTGGTGCCCAATGAATGTTTCAAGAGCATTTTACACTTTGCACGGCCACATAACACATGCAAAACCTGGTTTTATTTAAAAGAGGGTTGATTGTATCACGGTATTTTTCACTCAAAAAACTGTACTAATTCTACAGGTATTTGTTTTCCAAATGAGTATGGTTGTGTCAGAAGTGCAACCGTTTCAACCACAACTAGAGTTGCCAGTTTGAAAGGGGAGAAAAAGCTAGAGTGGTGACCTCATCTTTCATGACTTTTGAACCACGTTTCAAGCTCGAGGCCAGCATTATTTTTGAAGGAATTATCTGACAGATTCAGGGCACTGTGAAATAAGTCTCCATGCGGCTTTTAGATAACCATGTTGTCAGACACCATCTATTATGTCAACTCCATATACAACTTAATTCAAAAGTGTGTCACAGTGTAAACACTGTACATATGTTAAATACTGCCTGATCATCTCTCATTTTAAACGTGGGCTGCCAGATTTCAGGTTCCTCAGAGAGACTAGAGGGAGGAAACCTATTCCTACCAGCTACATTGTTAAACTTCTTTTGAATTGCTGGAACTTGCACTGATGCATGTCTGTTGATGTACTTAGTGCGTCTGTTTTAGTTGAGACAATGAGAAAAAAACCCCTGGTAATTTTTGGGGTAAGAAGAAGAGTAAGAGGGAAGATGCTGTGTGAATGTGCAGTACCCTTCTCTCACAACAGAATCTATTGGGAAAGCTCAACAGTTTTCCTCCTTGTGCTGGTGGTGACTCCAAATCAGGCTGAGTATTTGAAATGCTTTTTTTCTTCTCTACTTAAGTGTTTGTAACAAAGTGGTAAAATTGTAGCATCTCCCCTGCAAAATGGAAGATAGGATCTCAGATATGATAGATCACCCTTGGCAGACAGTAAAAGCCTTTAAAAATAATTTTGGGTTTACTGGCACTTATAAAATGACTGCGTGGTACCACTTACTTAAAAAAAGATAACAATTCTGAATAGAACTAATAAGATTATATACCCATTTAGGGTAAGATTTGGGGACATCTAATGGCAATTATGTCAAATGCTGCTATTTTCATCTTCTGCATCACACTTGTTCGTTGGACTCTTTAGGCATTTGAACAG